TTAACTAAACTACAAGGTAGTCACTACCGTAAAGTAAAACTAAACTACAGGGTAGTCACCATCATAAAGTTTAACTAAACTACAAGGTAGTCACTACCGTAAAGTAAAACTAAACTACAGGGTGGTCACTACCGTAAAGTTTAACTAAACTACAAGGTAGTCACTACCGTAAAGTTTCACTAAACTACAGGGTGGTCACTACTGTAACGTTTTACTAAACTACAGGGTGGTCACTACCGTAAAGTTTCACTAAACTACAGGGTGGTCACTATCGTAAAGTTTTACTAAACTACAGGGTGGTCACCATCGTAAAGTTTAACTAAACTACAAGGTAGTCACTACCGTAAAGTTTTACTAAGCTAGTATATGGTGTTTTTGTGTGTTTGGTTGATTAAATATTGTGTTCATTATTAGTTCACGGTTTTGTCTTTTTCCTGCACTATTTAACAAAGGAGGAAATTCATAATGGCAGATTATTGTAAGTTGTCCAGTTTCAATAAGTACAACACCGCCCGTGTATGGTCCCGCCAAACGACAATGATGTAATCATGTAACAGACAAAACATTATATATCTATGTCGAGATGAATGGCTTATTTCATGTCTCTATGGACGAGTGAGTAACAGTTAGTAAAGAGCACGAGGCTGTCCTCACGAGACAAAAAAAACAACAACAACATTTACTAGGAAACGTGTTTAGAGTCAAATACCATTATCTACACAGTTCTGGCAAATATTTAATGATTTGATATATCGTTTCATTTTTCTTTTGTGTGTGTGTGTGCCTTTTTCTTACTCTCTAATTGGTCAGCCTTGATCACCTCCCCTATCGTGAGAGAAATAACGAACTGTGTATTAACTTTTAATTACACTGTGTATATTGTACAAATAATACAATGACATTTCATCTGCTTTTTTTATCTCTAGCATTTAAAAAAACAGAGATATCTACATAAACTCGATTATGTCATAAAGGCTTCAAAGAAGACTTTTAAAGAGCAGAATACAAGTAGACATTATTATATATTTGATATCCAGTAGTTTTACACTACTCTCTACCAATAGCATAAAAACTTGTACAGAAGTGCTTACCAGAAAACCAAACCTAACAATAACATAAACACTTGTACAGAAGTGCTTACCAGAAACCGATACAACAAGAAAATAAACCCTAACTATAGCATAAACACTTGTACAAAAGTGCTTACTACAAACCGATACAAACAGAAAACCAAACCTAACTATAACATAAACACTTGTACAGAAGTGCTTACCAGAAACCGATACAACAAGAAAATAAAACCTAACAATAGCATAAACACTTATACAGAAGTGCTTACCAGAAACCGATACAACCAGAAAAACAAACCTAACAATAGCATAAACACTTATACAGAAGTGCTTACCAGAAACAGATACAACCAGAAAAACAAACCTAA